TGTTATGAGGAGATTTTGGACTTTAGCCTCTGGGAACTTTGTGGTCCATTCAGTATTCACCAACACCAAAATTCGAAGTAGTAAACTTCACCGCCAAGTCTTAGCTTTGTGATTTCAAGTTGCTTCTAAGAAACTCACTCTTACTTTATCATTGTGCAATTGAGGAATCCAATCCCGCTAAGACCCATACTAAGATGGCATGTTTTGATTCTCAAAGATGGATTGGGTTGGATTGATTTTGAACCCAGTCTCATCCAACTTAAAGCAAAGATGTATGATTGGAGAGATGTCAAATGCATATGTATCTCATCCCATCCTTTACTTGGATAGATAACATGTCAAGTGTAGGTCACATACACATGTCTAAATCAATTAAGGCTAAAATGACCATTAACCCTAATTTTTTACTATCTTGGGGTATATTGGGAGAAAAAAAAATCATGCCAATAGAAGATATATTCCACGGGTGTCGTGGATTATTTATCCAGGTCAGAAGGAATTAATGACTACATTTACTATGGGCCGACTAATTGAAGACGAGGCCCAACGTTTAGTCGAAACTTCGAATTTGTGGCGGACCATGATTTTTTAGCCAATCCTACACCTTTATTCACATTTATCCACAGAAACTAACACAAAACCAGAGTGTCTCAAACAAATTCAGGGCCAATCCACAACTCCGATGTCTTGGTGGATTGCTAGTGAGTGTGGGTGCCGAAAGTCTAATCGAAGATTTCTACAAAATCCTTCAATATTTAGTCAAAAATAAACAAAAATATTGAAACACCGTTGAAGACCGATCTTCCTTATGTTCCGATTTAAATTGCTAACAATGTGACATTGCAGTGATGCATAACAGTGTAACACCTTCATTAACGCCTTAATCACTGACAAAAGGTTGTGAAATTACATTCATTGATTCATACACAACCTAAATAGTATGCATCACATAATGTGACACTACAAATATGTCATTCATATTGCTTTTAATGAATGACAGTGTAACATTGTAAAGTGACACTGTTATTAAATTTGAAAACAATCGGAGCCGTTTAACATTAAAAAAAAAATGAATTTCAAAATCTAGGTCAAGCCATTAAGGTACATTCCATGTTGTATAATTTTGAATTTCAAATATGTTCAATCCCGTGTAACATTGCAAAGTGACACTGTTGTTATATTTGAGAACAACCAGAGCCGTTTAACATTAAAAAAATTAATTTCAAAATTTGGGTCAAGTCATTAAGGTATATTCCATGTTGTATAGTTTTGAATTCCAAATTTGTTCAATCCCTTAAAATATGAAATCATTAATATAATAAATCAAAACCCATAAAAAATGAGACTGACAAACTAATAGACCTTCCAATAAAGAAAATGATATTTTAGTGAAGAAAATATTTGAAAATATGTTAGTGAATACCTAACTACAATATATTTCAAATCAAAAGTACTTATTTACAAAAGATTTTAGTCAATATATTTTTTTACAAATAATTAATTTAAAAAGTGCTCATAATTTTAGCCAAAATTTTAGGGTCGGGTGGCCCGAATGATGCCCTAAATCCTTGATCCATGATTCCCACCAACTAGGGGTGTAACTCGGACAAGTTGAGGGGTCAACTCAAATCCAACCCTAGGTATATAATTTTCAATTTTAATTTTAACTCTAACTTGACCTTAACTCGAGTATTGTCCAAGTTGAATTTGGACGAGTTCAAGTTGAATTTTGGTTACTTAATTCAGGCTGATTTCAGATTAAAATTCGAGTTGAGGTCGTTAAAATATATTGTGAAATGTGAACCTTAGTTGTAAGTTATGCTATTGAATCTATTGATTTATATATCTATTTTTAAATATCTTCGTGTTGAGCTCGATTTATATAATTGGGTTAAATTCGGTAACTTGTGGCCTCAACCTGGATATTACCTAAATTCAAATTTGGATTGGCATTTTTCAGCCCAAGCTCAACTCAAATATTAAAAAACTTAATCCAAACCTTACTTTTTTTTTTGAATTAAATTTGACTTAAATTTAAGTTGGCTTGCCCAAATTTAGGGATGTCAATGGACCGAAGCGGGGACAGGGGGTGTAGTCTACATCCCCGTACCTACTTAAAAAAACTATGTTCATCCTCAATCCACCCCCGTTAACGAGTATAGTTTTCATCCCCATCTCTGTCCGTGGGTAAATTTTTAATCTCCGCCCCCATCTCCGCTTCCCTCGTACCCGCCCAAGCCCAAACTCAAGCTCAATTTAACATAATCTAAAATTCTAAATAAATTCAAAATTTTAAATAATTCAAGAACATTCTAAATAATCTAACACAACATAATGTAGCATTACATATTCCAACATAATAGAAACAACAAATGTCCAAAATACTATTTGAATTCGATATAATTCAACATAACACAAACAAATTGTGCAATGACAGTTTATTGAACCAGAAGCTTCTCATGTCCAAATTGTGCAACGTCCTTTAACAAATGACCTAGGAAAACCCGCAATAGGGCCTATCGATTTAACCTAATTCTCCAAGAAATAAGAAAAACATAGCCTATCATAACTGATGAACTCTTATATGTATTCATGAGAACCCGAACACTTTTTAGAGGCATCGAAACAATCACCCTCTTCCTTTGCAACCACAAAATACACAAACTATTTGTCCCATCAGAATTACATGACTAAGGCATCAAAAACTCCAAGACCATCAAATAACCATCCAAATCCAATTACAAAATAAGCAATTCAGATCACAAAGTCTCCCTTCAATGCCTGATATAAAATCAATAACCACTCTAAAGGATTTGAATACTCCAAGAAATTCAACCACTCACAACTCTATACAATGTCAATTTTTTAAATATGCACTGTACTTTCTCGCAATCTAACCAATATGATCATATAATCCCAATACACCTTCAAATCAACCTGCGATATTGAATCATAGATTCACAAAATCAAACAACTAAGTCGCTTACAATAATTTTTTTCATTTCAACAATCTAGATTACAATGCATTCAGATCTCATACACATATCATATCAGAAGCAAAATTGAATCAACTCTGGGATAACAATGGTATCGATCAACATTGATTGACTGAATTGCAGATAGAAAATTTAGTTAGGGTTTTGGCATACCAGGTCATTCAAGTATACGTATATGAATTGAGTAGTCGGCGTTCAAGTGTACGTATATGAATTAGAGCAGTCGACGTTGAGCAGTCAACACCTAAAGACGATGGAAACCTGCAATGAGGGAGAGACGATGGAGGGAGGGGAGAGACGATGAAGGCGGGCGGCTAATAGAGGTCCTCTAGTAAGTTAGGGGTTTAAGTCTTTACCTAAGAGTATATATATATATATAATGGGTATAGCGGGGACGGGGACGGAGCAGGGATAAGGGTAAGTCCATCTCCGCCTTCATTTTCGCACGAGTTTATACAGGTATCTCCGTATACGTCCACCGTCTAATACGTATAGTTTATTCCTGATTCAAACGAGATGAGTTTAGACGATTACCCGTTTTTCTCCGATTACCCGTTTTTCTCCGATCCATTGTCATCTCTACCCAAATTGCACCCCTAACACCAACCCAAAGGAAGAAAGGTGGTGAACCTCACATATCAATGTCATACAAATTTCTTAGTCTTAAGCAAAGGAGAAATAAGAATAATTGCTTGTGATGTGAGTGCAAGCTTTTTATTTTGACCAGTTATTAACTAGGGAAATAGTTGAGTTTCGATGGCATAGAAAACTCTGTTGAGGTCCATTACATCCATTAATTCTAAATTAAGTTAAGGTTATTTTATTTCCGTCTATGTCTGAAAGGAATAAGTTGAGGCCGATAATGATGACTGATTCAGAAATTAGTCTCACTGACCAATTATACAACCATAGAACCATGGTGACCTATTGAATTTTCAATCCATTAAAACTTTCACCCATAAAGTTTCCACCAATTTCTGCTTTAGTTCTTAATATATTTTTAAAGCAAAAAAAAATAAAATAAAATAAAAGCCAAGAAACATGTTCGTCCAATCAATCAAATCAATCATACTTTTAATGTTGTTCTCCCGCGTTGTCTCTTGGGTGTTGAAAACAAAGCATGGTTGGTTTGCGCATCCATCGATAATATTTATGCTGTTATTAAATATATTTACCATTAACAATAAACAATGAAAAATATTTTTTAATCCCACCACTAAGACGAAAGGAACATGATAAATGTTGAACATACTACTATCATTTGCAAATTTAACATGGATATTTTAGTAATTTTGCTATACACTTGTGTTCAACTAAACATCCTTACTCAATTTCAATCAAATTACAGTAATTTTTAAATTTATCAACTCGTACTAATAGATTTTACATGTTTTTCTAACACTTTATTCAACAAATTGAGTTAGGCATGATAAAAAATAATCCAAATTAATAATTAAAAAAAATAAAATTGGATTGATTCAAATCCTTTGAGTGGGTAAGAAGTGGTTGTCCACATCTCTTTGATAACAATTTTTTTAATTCCATTCAATAATAAATAATATTTAATTATCAAAATAGTATAAATAAAATCGACTATTTATAAAAAGTGATGCTACATAAACTTAAAAATTATACTTAAAAATTAGACTTGATAATTACAGATTTTGATTTCACTGTAAATCCCAATATTTATTAAGACTCGTCACATATTCAATGATTCTGATAATCAAATCTAATTTTTAAATTCATGTAAAATTATTAATTTATAAATGAATGGATCAATAAGGATCAAAAGTCTAGAAGTAATGGATCTCTATAAACTTGATAATCACAATCATTTAGTAGGTAGTGGATCTCTATAAATATTGAAACTCACAATAAAATTAATATTTGTAATTATTAAATCTATTTTTTAACATGATTGATGACGTGTTAAGTTTTCATTTGCCATGTATCAAATTGGACCCAAGGCTTCTACACACACACTCTCACTATAAAGGCAGCATTCGTGCACTCTCCTAACTTTGTATACAGGCCTGTCGTTCCCTGCCGTTGGCTCAAATTTTGGTCATCCAAACAGACGGTGAAGATCATGGCTCCGATTGCAGTTGGCGATGTGGTTCCCGACGGAACTCTGGCGTACTTCGACGGGGAAGATCAGATGCAACAAGTGTCTGTACACTCTCTCGCTGCCGGCAAGAAGGTTATCCTCTTCGGCGTTCCCGGCGCATTCACTCCCACTTGCAGGTAAACTCCCTCTCTCTCTCTCTCTCTCCCCTTTAGCGTCTCCACTGTTTTTCACCGTCTGTCTCCGGTCAACTGATCGGCTCTTGGAGATTTTGTAGTTTTATCTGCATTCGACCCGCTTTAGTTTGACGAATTTTTTTTTTTTTTAATTTTTTGTTCAATTTGATTGTGGGAATTTTTGAATTTCTTTAACCAAATTACTACTTTAATCTGCCGTCGGGCTTAAAAAAGTTTAAATTAGAATCCACTGTAATTTGAAAATTGATTCGTATTTGTTTGTGCCTATTTGATTTTGTTTTATGTTTAATTATTATGTGGTTGGTGTGGCAAAGCTTGAAGCATGTACCAGGGTTTATTGAGAAAGCAGATGAGCTGAAATCAAAGGGAGTTGATGAGCTTTTATGTATCAGCGGTATGTGTCTGGTTCTTTACTTACTGTTTGGAATTGGATCAATTCACATTTTTGTAGCTTATTAGCCCTTTAATTTGCACAACTAGGGAGATTTTTAAGAATAATCTCACATAAGTGTTGCAAGCAAGAAATGTAAACCTAAATGATGCAGAAAATTAAGCTTGGTGTTCTTTGGTTCAATAGTTATTTGAGTTGATTTGATGATAGTTTTCAATGTAAAAAACGTGTTTTGAAAACGGGCTTTAACTAAAAGGGTTCTTTCATGAAAATTTACCAAATTATGATAATTTGATAAATAAGTTTAAAACTACGATATTTTGGTGAAGTAAAGTTACATAACTATTGTATACAGATAAAAAAACTCCTTGAGTTTGTGTATATAAATATTTATAATGTTGTCTTATTGCTTTAATTGGACTGTGGACAACTTGTAATTTAATAGAAAATATATTGGAAAAAAAAAAACCCTCAAACATCCCCAAACAACCTATGTAATTAACTTGCTTTTGGCTCAAATCATTTGTCTAAACTAGACATTGGTTCTTTTCATTTCATGCAGTCAATGATCCCTTTGTGATGAAGGCATGGGCGAAGACTTACCCTGAGGCGAAGAACGTCAAGTTCCTGGCTGATGGCTCAGGAACTTACACCCATGCACTTGGCCTCGAGCTCGACCTCTCAGAGAAGGGGCTTGGCATCCGATCTCGAAGGTTTGCTCTCCTGATGGATGACCTCAAGGTGAAGGTTGCAAATATTGAATCTGGAGGAGAATTCACTGTCTCTGGTGCTGATGATATCCTTAAGGCTCTTTAAGTCCTTTGTTTCCTCGTGCACCCTTTCTTTTGTCATTGAGCCTTGGTCTCATATGTTATTTTGTCAGACGTCTCAAATGCTTATGTACGTTTGTTACAATCATGGATTCTGAATCCTTGGCCAAAGTAATGTTGCTTTAAGTTTATATTCCTATGAAATAAAAGGTTTGTAGCTTTTGGAATTGTTCTCTATTTTCCTTGGTTGCGCTTGCATAGAACATATTAAAATGTGGATGCAGTAGTGTACACTGCACTAAGCAATTGTTGTGTCGTTTGAGTCTTGCTGAAAGTTATATATCGAAATGGCATCATCCCTTTTTGTGACACAAAGTTCCATTTCTAAATGTGAAGTAGGAAAGAAAGTTACGGTGTCAACTGCAAAATTAGGAGTGGAATACAGGCAATTTCATCATTTACCTTTCAAACAGTTAAGTTGTTGTATTTCTCAGAGAAAATGAGGGGTGGTAAATATAAGGTTGAAGAATGAGAGTATGTCCATAAACTTTGAGGCTCCACACATGAAATGAGATCAAGGTGTCGAAGGTTTTTCTGTTTGTTATGCCAAAAATACAAAATAAAATACGAAAATAAGTATTAGACTGGTCCGATTGTCACAACGTCACTGTCATCATATAAGTAATTCTAGGATCTTGAGAATATCCACAAGGGATAATGCAGTGACAACAATAATTTATAAGAAATAGCTCAAAGAGGGATCTTACTGAGAGCCCCTGAGGTCATAGGTGCATGACTGTCACCTATGAACTCTGCTTTATAAGAAAGTAACATGAAACATAGAAAACTAAAAAGTAACCTGATAGAGTATTTATGTTATGGATAGTTTAGGTATTTTGTATTATTTTATGAATAGTTTAGGTATTTTATATTATTTTGTTGTCCTAATATATAAGGGCCTATATTGTGTACTCTTTGTTAAGGTTGTATTACTGATTGGATTAGTCTTAATAATATTTTTGACTTCTCTCTTTTTTTTCTTGTCTTTGATCAATGTTTACATGGTATTAGAGCATTGCTCAATCTTAGCATACTTAAAAAAAAATTAAGAACATAGCAAGTTCTTCAAATTCTTCTAAACGAGAGCTGACATCATCAAAGTAGGGTTGATGTCATTGCTAACGTCATCAGTCCAGAGTTGGGGAGAGCACTACCATACTTGATTCTTCATGGGCTTTTCAATGGTATGTTTCATTTTTGACTTTGAGGCCATCAGATAGGGTTGTTCAAAAATTTCGGCTCTATTTTTCAATCTGTAATTTTGGGTTATTTTTCTCAAATTTTTTGCTTCCATTTGAGTCTAAAGGGTGCGAAAAAAAAAATAGTGTAAGCTAGCAGGTTGTGTGATTTGAAGGCATTTGGTTGGATTTTGGCTGCTTTGGACTATCGGCCTACTGTTCACAGTAAGAACAACCGCCAAAGTTTCGTTTCTGCGTTGGTCTTTGTTCTTGGCCCCTGCTGATTGGTTTCTATTCTGGGAAGGCTTCTCTTGGTTTCGCTGGCTGGTTGGTTTGTGTTATGGGCTGGGGAGGTCTCTCTTGGCTTCGCTGGTGGCTTTACTAGTGGTGTATCACGTTTGTTTTGGGTGACTTCGCAAGTTTGGTGGTTGGACTCCCACTATTTTGACTTGGTTTGAGTATCGTTTTGTTTTGAGCATTGACTCTTTGTTTAACATTATGGCAAGTGAAAATTCTAATTCTCTTTAGGCTATTAGTGTAAGATTAAATGGTACAAATTATTCTTATTGGGCTTATGTTATGAAAAAAAATTGTTGGGTAAGGAGATGTGGTCTTATGCTAGTTGTGATATGCAAGCTACGACAGATCCGAAGGAAGAGAAATATGTTGATTTAAAGAACACTAGGAAAATTAACAATGCTAAATTCATCACTTGGATTAACATCTCAGTTGAACAGACCATTGATGTTCATTTGACTAAGTTTAATACTGCCAAGGAGATTTGAGATTATTTAGCTACATTATTTGTTCAATCCAATTTTGTAAAAAGATATCAACTTGAGCATGACATTCGAGCTACATGTCAGGGTGATAAGACCATACAGGAGTTCTACTTAGTTATGACGGGATATTAGGATCAGTTAGCACTTGCTGAACTGAGTACTCATATGGTTTATCGCACGTTTAGGGAGGAGCAGCGGTTGGTGCAGTTTTTGATGGTTCTTAGAGATGACTTTCGAGGGACTTCGTGGTTCTATTCTTCATCGTCTTCCCTTTTCCATAGTTGATGCAGTAGTGAATGAGCTTCTGGCTGAAGAAGTCCGTCTTAAGACTCTTTTTGGGAATAGTCTTCTTCCATTGCCTAATCAAATTGTATTGGCTGTACCACCCAAGGTGACTTCTCATTCACATAATAAATATCGAGGTTGAGTTGCTTCAGGTAAGTGCAGTTTCTGTTATAAGAAGGGCCACTAGAAGGTCCAATGTCCTAAATTGGCAAACAAGAATGTTAAAGGAGTATTAAATTAGTCATTTAAGTCCAAAGACCATCATACAGTAGCAGCTACATCACCAGTGGATGAGTCATTCCCATTAGTTTCTATCTCTTCATCAACCAGGTGCTCTATCAGTTTCTCATTCAGCAAGTTCATTCACTTCTGGTCCGTCAAGTATATCTCGAACTGCCTGGGTCTTTGACTCAAGAGCCACCCATCACCTGATTAGTAATTCTTCCTTATTTGTGTCTCCTCCCTCTATATCTGTTCTTGTAGCCACTGGCATCCAAATGTCTTTGGCTGGTGTTGGAACAATTATGTCCTCCCAACTTACACTTCCTGATGTCTATTATATTCTTCAGCTTACTTTAAATTTAATCTCAGTTAGTCAGTTATTTGATTCGGAATTTTTAGTCCATTTTTCCTCTATTGGTTGTGTTGTGCAAGATCTAAGGTCTAAGAAGCTGATTGGGACAGGCCATAGAAATGGAGAGTTGTATGTGTTGGATGAGCTTCACATTCCTGAAGTTGCTGCATCTACTGTTGATTTATCTTATTTTCAATTAAGTCCACAATCGTCTAGTTTTTATTTATGGCATTCTCGCTTGGGTTATGTTTCTTAGTCTCATTTAAAATTTGTAGCTTCTATTGGTAGTTTGGGTAGTTTAGGGTTTCATGATATTTCTAATTGTAGTGGATACAAATTGGCAAAATTTACTGCATTAGCTTTCAATAAAAGTATTTCTAGTTCTTTTGCTCCTTTTAATTTAGTGCATTCTGATATCTGGAGACCGGCTCCTATTGCTACGAAAGGAGGGTCTCGATATTATGTCTCTTTTATTGATGATCATACTAGATATTGTTGGGTCGATCTGATGAAACGTAGGTTTGAATTCTGATTTCACTACTTTTCGTGCTATGGTGCATACCCAATATTCTTCTATCATTAAATGCTTACGATATGATCAAGGTGAAGAATATTCATTTACTTCTTTTTATGATTTGTTGAAATCTGATTGTCACACCCCCACCTCAGATCACATAGGGTAGGCGGCGGACCGGCCACCAAGGCCTTAACCAACCAACCTTCTGCATAATAAATGTAAAATACAGCGGAAGACAAATAATAACGTGATTCATTCCACCGACCTAATGAATACAAGAGGAATAAATTAAACATCATTACTAAATCCATGTAAAACAATAATTAAATCGTAAGATTCATTACTCTAAACATAAGCAATATTGTTCCCAAAACAATTAAACAAAACTATAAAATATATTTATTCCTGAAGACCTACAATAAAATAAATCCTCAAGTTCTCGAATCTCTTGTGTATCCGGGGGCTTATTCCTCCCTCTGATCCTCACCTGAAAAATGTTAAATGATTGGATGAGCACAATGGCCCATAAATAGCAACCACCTCTAATGAGGTGTAAAAATAAATCTCATAGTTTATATACAACAATAAACTTTAATACATATAAGTACAATAAATTGTATCCCACCCCTCTCACATAATCCTTAAAAAAATTATCTTATGTTCATAAATAACTTTATAAATAAAAAGACATTTATAACTTAAAGTACCACTCATCTTCACAAATAACTTTACAAATGAAAAGACATTTATAGCCCAAAACACTCACACACACACATTCAGTCTCAAATACATTTGTCAAATCATGTTTGTTACCACCAACCTAGTAACTGGCCCCATCTCTTGTCATCACTTGCCTGATGACTGGCCCTGTCTCTTATTACCACTAACCTGGTAACTGGCCCCGTCTCTTGTCATCACTAACCTGATGACTGACCCCTATGTTCACATCCCTATACCGACCACGCTACAATCTCGTTATCCCTCAGACCTAGTAATTCAGTCCCCGTCTCATAAACATGATTTTCACACAAACCAAAATTATAGTTTTAGTCCCAATGCACACAAATTTTTTCTTTCACAACCAAAGCAATGATTAAAATCATCCCACAAGTTTTTCAAAATTCACATGTACAATAGTTTATAATTTCAAAATATTTAATTGCAACCCCAAACATCAACACATATATCATATATATGAAAAATTCATACGCACACACCCACATATTTAATATAGAAAATCCTCCCAAAAGAAGTAGTAACTACTCACCTTAATTCCCAAAATTCAATTCAAAACACTCTTTCCCAACCTCAATGCAATCTCCACTTAATCCAAAATAACATATAACGATCAATCTCTATTCCTAATTTCGTCATTTCGTGATTTTATATTTAATTTTTATATTTCATACCTATTGATATATACTTAATATATCTTTTACATATAAATATTCTTTCTAATACGATTTAATAGGGTATGGAAGTATTTTGGACTGTTTAGAAAAAAGTTTCTAAAGTTTTGGGATCAAATCATAATTTTTGAAACTTTTGGGGTCAAAGTATAATTTTCTTAAAAAACAAATTTTCTGTTTTCAGGCTTGTCATAAATTTTCCAGAATTCTGTTCTTGCAACTTACCAAGTAAAAAGAACTTAAAATTAAGTTTAGAAGAACAAAAGGGTCAAAATAAAACTCTTTAAATCTAAAGGAGAACTTTCTGTAATTTTTGGATTTGATCTTCTTCTTCCAGAAGCAAAACCTGGAACCAGTACTTCCTTTCCCTTTTTTTTTGTTTTCCTTTTTACACATTAATTTAATTCCTTAAAACTTCAAGAATAACCAATCTAAATTAGGTTTAAAACACCTAAATTAGCATCTTTCACTGAAATTCATTTATATATATTCATCAATATTCTTCACCATGAACATATATATAATTACTACATA